ATGATTTTTAATACATTAGTGAAACCACTGTTCTAACATAACCTCCCACCATGTGTATTGTAATTGTAATCAAAGTAGTGTTTTAACATAAATTTAAACTACATGATTTTTAATACATTAGTGAAACCACTGTTCTAACATAACCTCCCACCATGTGTATTGTAATACTGTAATCAAAGTAGTGTTTTAACATAAATTTAAACTACATAGTTTTTAATACATTAGTGAAACCACTGTTCTAACATAACCTCCCACCATGTGTCTTGTAATACTGTAATCAAAATAGTGTTTTAACATAAATTTAAACTACATGATTTTTAATACAAATAATGGAACCACTGTCCTAACATAACCTCCCACCTGACACATAAACAATACGTCACATGAAGCATCTTTATATCACAACTGACACATTCACCTGACACATAAACAATAAGTCATCCTTATATCACAACTGACACATTCACCTGACACATAAACAATAAGTAATCTTTATATCACAGCTGACACATTCACCTGACACATAAACAATAAGTAATCTTTATATCACAACTGCTCTTTGATGTATATGTACATACTTACTATCCACATTTTGAGAATAAGAATGTTGCAGACCTTCTGAAGTATATAAATTTGTTTTAAAACTAAAAGTGTTATAATATTGTAACTTTATTATTTGGATTCAAGACATAGTTTTGGTTCAAACTAGAGCTATTTTTCAAAAGGTTTCAGTTTTATGTTGGTGAGGAAGTGAACCATTGAGCAACATGTAAACAACAATGCTGTTTAAAAGTTGTAAGTTAAAGTAATTATTGTGAAATTTGTTATGTTTTGTGTATTTGATGATTTATGTAACAGAAGAAACTTAAGGCTGGGAAGAAAGGTTCTTTCTTGCTTCGATTCTATGGCATGCCTCATAAAGACGCAATCCTGATAAACAAGACCACTGGTCAACACTGGCTAGCTCTAGAGTACACTTACCGTCACCTCACTATTGTTCATATTGAAATTGATGCGAGGAACATAACTGTTTTACGAAAAGGGTAGGGTCAGTTTTATGTAGTGTGCTTGTCCAACATGATAGTGTTTATATTTCTAAAACTCCATTGTGAGAGTGAGATAAAATAATTAGAAATAAAGTAGCAGTTATATAGTAGACAAGCTACTAGTTGGATTGAAACAGTGCATGGTGAAAAGAAGTTATTAGAAAGAGTAAAAGTTTTTTATTTCTCTGTATTGTTGTACTCTAAATCTTGGTGTCTTATAGTGCAGTTTAAAAAATTGCCAGATAATTATATATCTTTGTTCTTTATGTATTTATTAGACCTTTCATTGGGTACATAAGTTTGAATTCAGGATAAATTACATTTGCATAAAACTAAAATAGGGTAATACTTTTTTATGTATTTAAACAGATGAAATTATTCTTCACATTCTATAAACTCAGTAGTTTAAAATTTGTAGAAACTATGACCAACTTTATGTTTCAGTCATTTTGCACAATTGAATGCCATAGTGACTTCGAGTACAGCTGGTACTAGTCAGATACATGTACACGTTCTAAACACTGGCTTGGTCGCAGCTCGATTCACTGCTAAAGCTGTGAAGTGTAGTGAGGGAGTGTCTGACAGTTCGGAAGATTCAGTGCTCATTCCTCCTCAGAGTAAGAAAGTATTGTTGTTATTTGTTCAGCTTGGATCACTGGATATTAATGACGATATTCTTTGCACAGGTGAGTAACAAATTATTTTTTAAGTGTGATGTTTATGAAGATAGTGATATGTATGCTTCATTCTTAAGTTTTTGCATTTAGTAATATTAACTTCTGATCAAAGCTATTTATCTAAAGGAAGCTAAAAATCAACCCAGTAATGAGTACAGGTTGCTTATAAAGATTATAATGCATTGTTTCATCAGTTGGGAACCCTTTGTTTATTATAGTTATTGAAATTATAATGAAATTTGCTTTAAAAGTTTGTCTTCCTAAACTAGAATTTTTATTTTTTATTCTTCGAAATTTGGGTATTCTGAGAAATTCAGTTTAAAAGGGTTTCATATTATTGAAAATGGTATTTTCCACTACTCAAAAGATTTATGATCAAAAGAATGAGTCAGTGGATGAAGAAAGACAATTGTGTGAGAGGATTTTCAAGGCTAAAAGAAATCATTTTCTGGATATTGAACTTTCACTAATGCTGTGAAGGTCCATGACTTCTATCTGATTGCAGCTGATAATTCAGAAAGAAGAGCTACCAATGTCTGGGTGCTTTCCTTGCACTGAGGTTGATCCTCAAGGAGAGAGCATGAACAGTTTTTCTGAGTACAAAACAAGTAAGGATTGTCAGCATGTTGTGTCATCTGGAAAGTCTGAGACTGAATGAGGCAGTCTATATAGTATTCCTAGACATTTGTCAGCCAAAGTAACACCCAACTCCAACTCTGTTTAAAACTAACCAAGATTATCAAGGTAAGACTAGAGATGCCATTGATGGGAAATGTCTGCCAACAGGAACTATCTTGTCAGCAGGTGAGATAGTAACCATCAAATGGACCATGGAGAAGTGGTGAGCTTCTCTGAGTGGATCACAGAAGAGTCTGGGATTATGCAGAGTTAACACATGAACTGAACAAGGCAACTCGTTGCTTTGCCACTTTGGACTAAGGATTGCGTACCCTTATAAGAATCAAAGTTCCTGAACATGGCTATATTGTTGTACCTATGACATTAAGGAAATGTTGGTCAGGTGGTGGATGAGAGAAAGGTTCAAGCTATGATATGAGTAAGGTAAACATATCACTCCACTTACATTCAAGAGAGCGGCAAAGAAATGTTTGAAGTGTTTCCATAAATGTTTCAGGCAGGTAGCTGCTTGGAATGGTTGGTCTACAGAGCAGTGTCTGATCATGAGTCTGGCTCTAGGCTGTAAACAGTCATTGCTGAGTTGTGTGAATGTTCAACCAAGTGTACCATTGAGCAATTCATTGACCTGAGTTCAAGATTCAGAAGAGAAATACCACAAAGAGCATGTGTGTGTGCTTACATGAACAGTGTCATTTTCGCCATAGGTATACCCTGTAATGGTCATTCTGTGGAAGGGCTACCCAATGAAATAATGTAACCCTATCTTCTCACCTTTACTGAGGCAGTTTCTGTAGTAATGTGGTATGAAGTTGTAACTTTGAACCAGTTGCAAGAGCGAAAATCAGCTTGCAGTGGTCATTCCACTCTACTTGGGCATCCATGTCATGCCAAGCTCAAGTCTAACCAAGTTTTTAACATCCCAGCACTGTGAGACAATCACACTGGTATCCAGTAAATAGGTAGGGCTATGGTTTACATACTACAGCCAATAAAATCAATGATGCCTCTACCTGTACATAAGCTTGGAAAATATGAGCAAAGTGTTTCTTTACCTGTGCAGTGTTGGGTTACTTTCGAGTGAACTGCCTGTATTTGCCAAGAAGCAAGGTAGACATGGCTATTGGTTTTGAGTGACAGCTCAGCAGGAAAGCCAACAATAGACTAAAGTTGCTAATGTTCCAGAATTCCAGAAAACTAATGAAGCTCGAGTTGGGTGTGGCCACTGACTTGAGTGAGCACAATGACAGTTTGCACCAATAGATTTGGTGGCCAGCTCAACTTTCTTGTGCTGAGTGGATCTTGGTACATGCCTGTCAAGAGTACAAGGGAAAGAGGTAGTATTCCTGATTGATACACAAGTGGCCTAAACTCTGGTAGATCTCACAGTACATCATGACTGAGTGAAGCACTTTGTGGAATGAAGAGGTGGCTCTCCCACTGTGTCTAGGAGGCATTGATGTATTACATTAGACCTGGATACTGGCAACTTGAGCTGGGTGACAAAAGCCGACCTAAAACTGTTTTCAACGTGATAGATATATTGTACGAGTTTCATGATATGTTCTTTCTACATTTATAACCAGCCACAACTTTTGAGAGGCTAACGAAATTTACACTGCAGAAGCTTGGCGGTTGGTTGCACATTCAATCTGTGGCTGTGAATCTGAAAATGGTATTCCAACTATTAAAAAAGGCAGGTTTGAGGCCAGAGGTGTTTTTAACACTTCAAACAACTTGGCGCAATTTTCATAGGGGGCCTGTCTGTACTGATCAGCTATAGGTATAGATATTTTAAGTTTTTTGCATTACTTTGGGGGCCCACAATATGAGAGGCCCATCTGTGTGTTGCCCCAATTGCATCCATGTTAAATATGCCACTGCTTGAAACTGAAAACAATAAAAGGTGCATTCATGCATATGGAAGTGAAATTATTTGGTCATATTGTAGATACTAATGGAATCTTCACAGATCCTACTAAAATAGCATTCATGCAAAAATTGGCCTCACCAAGTGAGGAGTCTGCTGTTCCTGAGGTTTCACGTTGTCAACTTCATTACATTTGCTACACCATCATGAGCTCTCACTTAAGTTGAGACACACTTCACATGTAGTGAAAAATGTGAACAAACATTCCAGTTCTTAAAGTGTGTTACCGAGGTGAGCACTTTTTTGATAGTTGTCATTTCTATAAGTGTCAAAGGGGAGATATTCATTCAAATGAATTTATTTGACATGGTACAATAAAGTCATGCATAAGTATAATACTGACATGGAAATATGTATACATACTCAAACATGATCCTCTCTTTATGCATTATTCATGTTCTTGCTCCTATCTTCAAAATATTTCTTTCAACCAGTCGACATAGGAAGTCCTGTTTTTCCCTAAAATTCCTTCACAAAAAGAAACATTTTTGTTCTTATAAGTTTTTTTTTTCAGACTGGTGGACTGTTAAGCACATACCAGGACTGACGGATCAGTGTCAATATGAAATTAAGAATTGCAAACAATTATTAATTTTCCTGTAATGTACTCTTTAAAATGAATGTTTTGATATACCTGTTTTTTTCTATGATTAACCATTCAGGAGATACACAGACAGACAGACAGACATTTGACTATTATATACATATATATATAGGTTATTGAAGTGTCAGTATTTGAAAACTGTATTTTCAATTCAGTCAGTGCTAAATAAATTGTGTTAAAGATTCATAGCTAGCATAGAAGCTTAAGATTAGCCAATGTTTTGATAAAAACATGAAATACAAATTTCTCTTATTATAATACTTTTATATGTTTTAAGGGGAGAGGAATATGAATTATGTTTTCTTTAGCATGAAATGGAAAAAAATATATGCAGAAAAATAACTGGGGCTTCTTTATTATAGAGAGTGAAACTTTATCAGTTTCAAGTTAAGTATACACACACAGGGTGATTGATAATCTGTGAAAACTAGAGTCTGGTATGATTAGAACAGGTACCAGAGAGTTGTTCAAGTATCAAGAGGATGGATACCTACACCTGCTTACTACTTACAAAAAAAGGACATGTGATAAGGATGTCAAAGATTACAGTTACAGTGTAAACTGAGCAAAGTTTTTAGTATAGCACAAATGAATGTAACATAGCACTCTGACAGAAGCAGAATTCCAAATGATGGGAGGATAACCATAGTGAACAACTTTCTGGTGGATTAGATAAGATCACATTGTGTGCCTGTCATAATCCTTTTTTTTTGGTGTGTATCGTAACACCTAGTTTTTGAGATGCTCAGAGATAATTTTATTTAAACTAGTTAGTAAGTATAACTTTGCTGGGTGTAGAAACTGGTACTAGTAGTTATAGCCAGAATGGAACTATTATAGAACAGACTGACAAAACAATCATAATATTTTCAAAATTGATTTATCTAGTGCTCTGTCATTTCTTACATACTTAAATCATCTTCTTAATGCACTTACAAAGTTATATATTCTGTAAGCATGCTACTGCTGATGATTATATATACATATGTGTGAGTGTGTGTGTAGAAAAGACAGAGGAAAAGAGCTGTTTGTAAATGCTCAGAATTTTTCAGTATTGTCAAATTTTTGTATTCCTACTATTGTACAATAGTTTATCATTCCAAGGACTGTGATGTACTTTGTATTGTTTGATTGACTTATCAGTTATTATTCAGTTTTCTGATACTAATGTAATAAAATGTGACATCTCAGTGAAGTTGAGAAGTGAAAATGTGGAACAAGTGGCTGAGAGACAAGCTGTTGTGAAACCTAAGGGCCGTTGTATTTGTTACATGCATTGCAAGTGTACAGTAAGTAGCATTATTTTACCTTTTGCTTAAAAATATTTGTATTTTTACTTCACAGAAAAGGGAAAGGTGTGACTGCTAATGAAAAGTAACAATTTGTCATATAATAACTGAAGATTCCTTTAAAATATGCCATTATTGCTAGATTTACAAAACTGTGTACGATTATTGGCAGCATATAATTTTTCTTTCCTAAGCATATCCACAAAAAAAATCATAAATAAATCAAAATATTAATTTCAAAATAATTGGTATGTAGGGCTGAAAAGCTAATAAAGAACAAGACCTTATATAGTGAAGCTACATGTTTAAATAATAAGTAACTGTTAGGAATAAGAATTATAGCTTTCTGTAAAGACTTTATAAAGGCTTGATGGTGATGGTGACTTTCTTGTTATTGGAATAACTGTTCTGAATGATGTAAGAAAACTAAAGTTTTCATATAAAAACTCTACATAGTTAGGCTTGATATGCTGCTGGCAACTTTCTTGTTATTGGAATAACTGTTATGAATGATGTAAGAAGACTAAAGTTTTCATTTAAAAACTACATAGTTAGGTTTGATAGTTAAACATACTGATGCAACTTCCTTGTCATTGGAATAACGTTGTGAATGATGTAAGAAAACTAAATGTTTCATATAAAAACTCTACATAGTTAGGCTTGATAGTGTTACATATCTACTTGTTTGTTAATTTCCAGTATAAATTCTTTCCGAGGAATTTCAGCGATACAGTTTCTTCTTATTAAACCACTTTATTCTTTCTTGATACAAACTTTTAGTACACAGTAATTTCACAATCACTACGTCTCTCATCACTTTAAACTTAACTCCTTTTATAATACTTGCTATAAATCACAGCAAATCACAAACTTTACTTATCATCGCCACTGTTTACTTCTTTAATTATCTATCTGTATTGCGGGCTTTCTTTACCAGGCTTATATACAAAAAAAAGAGGGCGTCTAGCAAACACTCGGACATTTGCAGGGTCCCCCGATAATCCGAGAAATTCCAGTGCGCATGCTCCCAGAATCACGCGACTTCTGCCGTCATAACACTGCCCCTTCCTTAGCATTGTTCGTCACGAACAATAGCCACTTACATTAAACCAATAGTTAATTAAAAATTACTTAATTAAATATACAGAATTTACAAACACAAAATTAAAATTCAACAAAGTCTCTTAATTTTACGGGACATACCTTCTTCTGTACTGGTCTCTGTCTCGTTGGCTTTTGCTTCACGTGGGGTTCATCTGCTCCATCAGGAAATGACCTATAATCGGTAGCAGTCACATCAGT